CTCGGAGCTCCGATGTGCGAGAGTATCTCAAGCGGAACGGGCCAGACAACCTCACGCACAGTGTCTCGGAGCTCTGAATCGCGAAGATGTCTCAGGCGAAACAGGCCAGATCAACTCTCGCGCGGCATCTCGGCGAAGCGACAATTTCGCAGATCGCAGCCCCCCAGGGACGGCGAGGTCCCGCTCAGGTCCGCGCGGTGCCTCACTCCGCAGGACCCACCAGCAGCCCTCGAAAGTGGCAACAATTTCGCAGATCGCAGCCCCCCATGGACGGCGAGGTCCCGCTCAGGTCCGCGCGTGCCTCACTCCGCAGGACCCACCAGCACCCCTCGAAAGTGGCGACAGTTTCGCAGATCGCAGCCCCGCAGGGACGGCGAGGTCCCGCTCAGGTCCACGCGGTGCCCCACTCCGCAGGACCCACCAGCAGCCCTCGAAAGTGGCGATAGTTTCGCAAATCGCAGCCTCCCAGGGACGGCGAGGTCCCGCTCAGGTCCGCACGGTGCCTCACTCCGCAGGACCCACCAGCAGCCCTCGAAAGTGGCGACAGTTTCGCAGATCGCAGCCCTCCAGGGACGGCGAAGTCCCGCTCAGATCCGCGCGGTGCCTCACTCCGCAGGACACACCAGCAGCCCTCGAAAGTGGCGACAGTTTCGCAGATCGCAGCCCCCCAGGGACGGCGACCACAGGGGGGGGCGGGAGAAGGGGCAAGATGCACACAAGAGGTACCGCAGGCAAGATGCACACGCAGACACACACACACACACACACACACACACACACACACACACACACACACACGCGGCACCCACAAGGCGAGAGGAGACAAGAGGGAGGCGGGAGGCGGGAGGAGGAGGAGGAGAGACGCGACCACACCCCTCTATTCAAAACGAATACCCAGCCAAGGAGGGTTGGGAATAAACTTCTCGCTCCGCCGCGGCGCGGCGTCGAGGGCGCAAGCCAAAGTGCCAGCAACAGTGACCAACCGTCATGCAGAAACGGGCGAGCGCCTGAGCCCAAATGGCCACAGACATCAGGCAGGCAAGAGAATCCACACTCGTATTGGCACACGGGGGCATGCAAATAGAGATGTGCCGATCTCTCTCTCTCTCTCGCTCTCTCTCTCTCTCTCTCTCTCTCTCTCTCTCTCTCTCTCTGTATACATACATATGTATGGTTCCACTGCGTATCTTTTGATGGCACTGTCAATCAGTCGAATTACCATCGGGGCAACCATCGGGGCAACCATCAAAACAACCATCGGAACAACCATCAAAACAAAAATCCGGACGACGAACGGGACCACCATGGGGACAACTATCAAAACAACCATCGGGATAACCGTCGGGACAACCATCGGGGCAACCACGGGACAAGCACGGATCGATCTCTTGAAAATCGCGGGGCACCCCCAGGCGACGGAGCCAACCGCGGGAAAACCTCTTGACAACCGCGGGACAACATCTTGACCCCCGCCAACCGGACGGGGGAGAAATATGTGCTCCGACTCCGCCACAGCAACGGCGGGATCACTACGCAACTTCGCCTTGCCCGCACGAACAACACGAGCACGAAAAACCGAAACCGAAACAGAAAATCCAGTGGTGGGTATCCGTTTCACTTCGATCTCACCTTGCCATCGCTCGGACGTCCATTCCCCGTGCAATGTTCGGTTTCGTGCGTACTCTTTTGGCGACATGATCCAGGATGCTCCTCGATGGTCCTCGCCGATAAAAATGCGATGCCAAGTCGCCCGCCCAAACTCCGAGTATTCTCAAGAATGTTGACAACGAATGCTCCACGTGTTGCCGTCGGGGCGATCCCGCGCACATCTTGCAGCCTGAGCAGCGCGGCGTACCCTTCTTCGTATCGCATTTCTGGACTAGCTGCGCTCTCTTTTTCTCTCTCTCTCTCTCTCTCTCTCTCTTTCTTTTTCTCTCCTCCTCTTTCTCCTCCTCCTCCTCCTCCTTCTTCCTCCCTCCCTGGAAACCACGACTAGAGACCACGACGAGACACCACGGGCCACGACCGGGGAGCGCGGAACCCACCGACGGCCCTCACGGCCAAGGAAGGGAAAGATGCTCAGGGGAACAAACCGAGCCAGAGCAGGCCACAACAGAAAAAAACCAGAGGCGCACAGAACAGAAAAGGGAAAAACGCAATTGACCGGATCAGATGAGAACAGAGAGTCGAGCGACAAATTGCACAGCATACCATATATGCCAAGATCACCTCGAGAAACGAACTGCGTAATTGGCAGGCGAATGTGCAGAACGATCTGAACTACTGCTGACCCTTGGGGTCGCCTGACCCCGATAACCTGATATCGAAACAAGGGTGTGCACGGCGTGGCGATATGGCCACGATTCCCGATCACCTGGTTGTGAATCTGATGGCATCCTGGAGGAAGGGAACCTGGGGGGATCTGGAAGAGAGTCTCGACCACCGCGGCTCCATACTCGACCCCTCAAGGTGTCCGAGTTTTCCCCGAACGCAAGCGCTCCTGGCCCAGCCACTGCTCCGTGGGGATGACCGACGTGACCTTCCTGCTGGCCTGCCGCGGCGACAGCTCCGGCCGTCCCTTCGTCTTCTCCGGCCTCTGCAGCCAGGAGCGGGAGCCCGCGTGGCCCGAGGACCCCGGCTGGAACCTGGCGAAGAACTCGGCCCCGAGGGCGCCGGCGTCGGCGCACCCCGCCAACGGCACGCTGGAGGCGAGGGCGCCCGCGAACACCCGGAGGCTCCTGCTCTCCTCCTCGCCCGAGCCGGTCGGCTTGCCCAGCGCGGGCGCCGCCGCCGACTGGGCGGCGCTCCTGGGGCGCATCGGAGGGGGGGTCTGCGACGCCGCCGCCGACGTCCCCACCGCCACGGGAGCAGCACCTCGCTTTCAGTCGGGCGTGTCCCCCTACAGGGGGATTTTGGACGAAAAATAACAAATACTCAAATTATCCCGGCAAAGCAACCTAACAGCGACGTGTAGAAGCATAGCTGGAAACATTGCCTGTGGTATTCATGTAAGAGTGCTGTTGTAGAATTCTGGTGTTCTCGCAGTCGCATTCGGATTCGCAGCGGCAGTCGCAGTGGCAACATCAGCGGCAGTCGCAGTGGCACTGCCAGTAGTTGCAGTAGCAATAGCTACACTAGCAGCAGCAACAGCAGCAGCAGCAGCAGTAATAGTAACAGTAGTAGTAGCAGTAGAAGTAGTAGTGATGGTAGTAGTGGTAACAGTGAAGTAGCAGTTGTAGTGTGTGGAGTGAACGAGTAGGAGTGATGGGAGCAGTGGTAGTAGCAGTAAAACACTGCTTTCGATAACGGTATCTCCAAATGAGATCTTTGTATAAATGCATTGAGGTCTAAACAAGACACTGCTATCAACGGATGTGACTCCAAACGACTGCTTCACGTGCTCGACGAGCGTTTGCAGAGGACCGCTCAATGCAGCACGCTGAGGAGCAGCGCTGTTCCCTGCCGCAGGCTGAGGAGCACCGCTGTTCAATGCAGCAGGGTCAGGAGCACCGCCGCCAGACCGAGAACTAGCAGCATGTCCTGGCATTAAGGTGCGCAGTAGGCGCTGCGCAGTTCCTTTGAAAGGAAATCTTCGAAAGCAGGGCTGTAGCCAAAAAGGCTACGGGGACGATGATGATGATGAAGATGATGAGTCTTGGAAGTCTGGGAAGTGGAAGAGCACGAAATGGCGTACAGTTGGCTCCGGGCATTCAAAATGTGGCCCGGGAATGGAGTTCTGGGAAATGGAAGAGCACGAAGTGGCCTACAGTTGGCTCCGGGCATTCAAAATGTGGCCCGGGAGTGGTGTTCTGGGAAATCCAAGAGCACGAAGTGGCCTACAGTTGGCTCCGGGCATCCAAAAGTGTGGCCCAGGAATGGAGTTCTAGGAAGTCGAAGAGCACGAAGTGGCCTACAGTTGGCTCCGGGCATTCAAAATGTGGCCCGGGAGTGGAGTTCTGGGAGGTCGAAGAGCACGAAGTGTGTGACTGTTTGCTTAAAACAAGCCCGGCCCTCGCCTGTCCGGCTCCCGCCCAGACCCCCCTGGGGAGTCATCAGATGCTCTCTTTTGACCCCATTAGAAACCTATCAGTCTTCGCTGTTAGGTAAAAATAAACTCCAAATATTCAAAAATGGTCCAAAAGTCGTCCCCAGACTATTTTCTGACTATTTTTGAACACTCCCCCTGTAGAGGGGCACGCCCGACTTGAACCTCGCTCCCACAGACAGCCCCAGGCGGCTCGAGGGGCGATGGCGGGGCAGAGGTGAGCCGGCGGTGCGCGGGTCGAAGGCCGGTGCTGCTCTCCGCGCCTGGCCCTCCGCGCGTCCGGGGGCATCGCGTGTCCTGGGCACTGCCGAGGGGCGCCCTGCGTGTGGCGTCGCATGCTGAGGCCGTGGTCGGGGAGGTGCGGCCCTGCAGAGATGCTTCCTGTCTGTGCCGAGGCAATCGTTGGAGCATCGTGCGATCGTTCGAGTCTGGTCGAGAAGAGAGTGGCTGGCAACCGTCGTGTGGCAACACCAACGAGTTCGGCTCGGCCGCTGATATACACATGTGTGCTCGCATGCAACGCGCGCTGGCTTACTACTACACGTGCTCCGTCTGCACTACTACTATCAGTGCCACCACTACCACAGCTATTGACACCGCCATTATCACTCCAACCACCACTATCAAACTACCTCCACCACCACTACCACTGCCACTACTTCTACGATCATCGTAATCAGAACCCCACTCCTGCGATTACGCCGACGTCTGTGCACGTGCGCGCCTACATGCGCCTACGTCTCGTCAAAGTATAAATCTAAGGCTACGTTGAAGACTGCGTATACGTCTGCATCATACGTGCGCTGTTACTTCTACGTCCACTGGCCACGGCATCACTGGCATGTCATGGAGCACACTCAGCTCCGTGATAATACTTGGCGCGGGCCTGGAACCTACAGATCACGGGGGCTCCCGGGCGCTCGCGGGCGCTTCCGCAGGTTCGAAAGGCGTGTCTCATCGGTGTCCCTTAGTTGTAGGAGAAGTGATTAAGAATCCAGGCCTCACACATGCCCCAACCCCAGCCTGGCCTCATGGGCACGTCTCGGGGGCCGTATTGGGGGTAAAATGGGCCCACATGGTGCTGGCGATGGTAGTGAGAATTGTGTTGCTTCTGTGGTAGGTGATGGTTGTGGCTCCCTAGTGGCAAGACTGTGATCAAGGTGGCGCCTTCATTAGAGGAAGCGTCTGCTGAGCATGCTGGCAGAAAGTCGGGGAGGTACGAACAGCCAGACCCAACCCCCCTCTCCAAAGTGAAAAATCGGGAGGGGCTGTCAAACCAACCCTCCCCTACAGTCTGAACCCACCCATGGGCGCCTGAAAATGACGACGACGACGAAGACCACAACGGCGTCGCAACGACGCTCGGCGAAGGCAAACGATGACAACGACGTGTCCCGCCCACACGGTCGACCGACTCGCCCACAACAATGCTCACGACGTGTCCCGCTACCCTGCCCAACCAACGCACTCGCGCACGACGACGACGACGACGACCACGACGACGACGACGACGACGACGACCACCACCACCACCACGACCACGACGACGACGACGACCACGACGACGACGACGACGACGACGACGACGACGACGACGGCGACGACGGCGACGACGACGACGACGACGACGACGACGACGACGACGACGACGACGACGACGACGACGACGACGACGACGACGACGGCGGCGGCGGCGGCGGCGGCGGCGGCGGCGGCGGCGGCAGCGACGGCGAGGGCGAGGGCGACGGCGACGGCGATGTCGACGATGACAACGACGACGGCGACGGCAACCGCCGACGCTCGGCCGTCATCGTCATCGTCATCGTCATCGTCGTCGTCGTTTGTTGGCGAGTCGGTCGGGCGGACAGGACACGTCGTCATCGTTGTCACCGTTTGGCGGCGAAAAGGGGGGGGTGTTCGAACCCCCCAGACTTTCGGGCCGGGAAAGGGGGAGTCTTGCAGGGAACGCGGGGTGGGGGGGTCCCTGTTCCGGAGACGAGGGGGGAGGGATCTTCGGAGGGGGGGTGCCCAGTTCCAGGAGATTGGGAGAGGGATGCCGCGGCCAGTAATCGGCGGCGAACGAGGGGGGGAAGTGAAGAAGGCGGGCCTTCTCAGAAGGCTCGGAAGTTCCCCGGCTTTCGAGAAGTTTCCTGAGCCTTCCCCGACGACAGAGAAAACTTCTTGGCAGGCGCGAGGGCTTCTGAGAAGTCCCGCCGCCTTCTGAGAAGCCCCTCTCCTTCTCATTTCCCCCCCTGGCTCGCCGCCGAAGAAAACCGCACACAGAGCTCGATCTCTCCTTGGTTGGCTCCCCCCGCAGAGCCTGCAGACGTCTTCGCAGCTGCGAGCCTCCCCTCGCAGCCCGCAAAGCCCGCGAGCCTCCTGAGCCTCCGCCATGCTGCCGTGGTCGGGCGCCAGGCCGCGCGGCAGCGGCCCGGGGGATGATCTCCCGCCGCCGCTTCCATGGATGCGAGCATCCATGGCGTGCTGCACGTGCTTGCCCTTGGCAGCATCGAGGGCGAATAGCCGAAGGGTCTGGCGACCCCTACAGTGGAGGCCAGTCCAAAAGAACCCTTCCACGAGAAACCCAACCCTGAGACCCCAGGACGCCCATTGATTCTTGGCGTGCGAACGTCGCGCCCTCCATGGCAAAACCACCGAAACCCAAGAAACCCAGGGCAACCTGGAGGCAAGCAGGGTGCTTCTTGGCACAGGGCATCCACTGTATCCCCGACATGGTGGGGTTTTCGCACGGGCCAAACACAATGCCCAGCTCTGGGACGTAATTACGCGGGAGGGGCGTCCATTCTCGATGGGGGTGCCTCCGAGTGGCCCCCAGGGGTGAATCCCCAAGCTTCCCATCTTTCCTGAGCGGCCTGATTTTTGGTCGGGGGCAACTCGGGCGAACGAAGGAGGCAGGCCATCACATGGTAAGGGATCGAAGAAGCACCCCCAACCCCACCCGGCCCCCCTCCCAGAGGGTGGGGGGCCAGGCGGCGGTGGGGCACGACAAGCTCGTGTCGTCGAGCGACCGGCCGTTTCCGAAACGTCAGACCTGTCAGCATCGACCGATTCTGGATCGCCGGCGGAGTTCAACGCTGAACGCCAGCGGCGGGGTCGCCGCCGGTCGACACAACGCTAATCTGCCTTACCCCTGCAGCCCCCTTTTTGCAAGAACTCCTCACCATCCGGAGGCGAAGCTCTCCCCGGCCCCGCCGCAGAGGGGTCAGGGTGTGCCAGGCGGGGGTTGGAGTGCGCTCTCCTCGCCATCGCTCGGACGTCCGTCCATTCCCTGTGCATTTGTCGATTTCGTGCGCTTACTCGCTCCTCGATGGGGCCCCCGCGGGAAAAAAAAATCGCACGCGTCCGAGCGAGGGCCCAACAGGGGCAGGCACCCAGGGGCGGGCCTCCAGGGGGTCGGCTGGGCTGCCCCCTTTGCGAGGCGGGGATTTATCCATATCCTCCTCCTCCTCCACCTCCTCCTCCTCCTCCTCTCACTCCTCTCCCTCCTCCTCCTCCTCCAGCTCCTCCTCCATCTCCTCCTCCTCCTCCTCCTCCTCCTCCTCCTCCTCCTCCTCCTCCTCCCCTCCTCCTCCTCCTCTTCCTCGTCCGCCTCCTCTTCCTCTTCCTCCTCCCCCTAGCGGGCGGTGGATATGGATATATTGCGGCCCCCGGGGGCCCGAATGTGTCCATATCCACCGCATGCCGAGGCTCCGAAAACTGACCCTCCGGGCGGTGGATATGGATAAATTCCCGCCTCGGACCCTTCCCCACCGCCTCTCCTGAGACGAAGCGAGGACGAGGATAGAATCGGGTAAAAATAATCGAGACAACTGCCTATAAAAACAGCCCCCCAAAAAAAACCTCCGTAAACATTAACTTTTGACGTTGCGCGCGGAGTTCTTGGATCTGCGCTGGGCCCCCCCTCCCTGGCGCGCGGAATGCGCCAGGGGCAGCGCCGGAGGCGCCGCCGGAGAGGACCAGCGCGGATCCGAGAAATCCGCGGGGAGCGCCAAACCAAATATGTTTATGCCGCATTTTCTCCTTCGAGACAAATCCAGAATCTCTGAGGTCTGGCGGTTCTGGAGAACGTCTCGGGCGCCGCGGCCTGTTTCAGAGCGTTCCGCAGCGCTCTGAAAGAACGTTCCGGATCGCTCTGGAACGGATTCATCATCGTCCCAACCCCGTCCGATTTCGCCCGTGACCGGTCGCGGCCTCTTTCTTGCCGCTCCTGTCCCAGCTGCCGTGCCCGGCATAATCCTGGAAGACGCTCCCCAACTGCGCGTGCTCGTCCTGGCCTGATCCGACGGCACGGGGCCCGAAGGTGGCCGCACCCGCTGCTCCGGGATCCGCGCCCCTGGGATCCGCTGCTTCGGGGTGCGGACATCCGTGCGTCAGCGGAGACGCAGAGATATCCGGATCTGACGCTCTCCAGGTTCGGTTCCACGGAAGAGTGACCATAGCCAAGAGTGACCTGGGGGGCGGGCGGTGAGAGCGCCTTACCCCCCTACGCCGTGTGCCTCATGCGGCCGGGGCGATCGGCTATGTCTGCGGATGTGAGAGGTCACGCAGGCATTACGGTCGCATCTACAGACCCTCTTGACCGGGGGACATGAGGGAGATGCTGATTCACGGTCGGTGTCGACCCAAGCCAAGAGTGACCTTCACTGCGCGACTTTCGGGGGCAGCGGGGAGGCCGAACAGGAGCGCACAAGCCGCTGCTGTCGCATCGCACTCAGCCACCTGGGGACACCACTGTGCCCGCACAAATGGTCACTCCGGCGAAAGGTCACTCTTACGTATGGCCGACAGGTCCTGGGGGCACCTCTCCAGACGCGGTGTTGGCGGCGAGCGAGGGGGGGCAGTGAGAAGGGGCGGGGCTTCTCAGAAGGCTCGGAAGTCCCCCGGCCTTCTGAGAAGTTTTGTAAGCCTTCCCCGAAAAAACACAAAAAACTTCTCAGAGGGCGCGAGGGCTTCTGAGAAGTCCCGCCGCCTGCCGAGGAGGCCTTCTCCTTCTCCCTTCCCCCCCTCGCTCGCCGCCGACGGTGGGCATGACCACGTACTGGCCTCGGGGGATGTTGTCAGGAGAACCTCCAGCCGCAGGGCACTTCTTCGGCGAGAAGGTGTGCCCCGGAAGAGGCCGCTCGCGCCGCTCCCTCCAGGAGAGGGTGCCCGCAGCGCCAGAGCTCCACGCCCCCAGCGCCTGGGCGCGAGACAGCGGCGCAAACGACCGACACTTGGCGGCGAGCGAGGGGGGGGGAAATGAGAAGGAGAGGGCCTTCTCAGAAGGCGACGGGACTTCTCAGAAGCCCTCGCGCCTTCTGAGAGGGGCTGTTTCTGTCTCCGGGGAAGGCTTAGAAAACTTCTCAGAAGGCCGGGGGACTTCCGAGCCTTCTGAGAAGGCCCGCCCCGTTTTACTTCCCCCCCTCGCTCGCCGCCGAGACACGGCCGACAGATGTCGGAAGACACGATGGGCCCTCGAGTGCTCAACGTGTGCCGAGGTCGCCGATCACTGCAGCTGCGGCAGCTGCAATGGCAGGCGCTGTAGCTGCAGTGGTAGTGGCAGCCGCGTTGAAAGCAGCAGAGATCAGTAGGTACTGCCAGGCAGTGGTGGGCCACGCCAATACCATTCGAATCGGAGCAGCAGTAGTAGCAAGAGCACATGGACTGGGAGGTATGATACAGGAGCCTGGAACTACATAACGTCTGAGTGGGAGAAGGAGCAGACGAAGGCATAGCTACAGAAAAAAGAGACAAGGACGACGTGAAGAAGTCTTCCCTAAAAGTGCACGCGCTACGCCCGCGGGGGGCACGACGGCGCACCTCGTAAGGCGGTGCGCTGCAGGCCTCCAGGTCCGACTCGCCCTTTATCAACTTGTCCGCGAGGGAACGCTCCAGCCTGAAGGGGCCCTGGGACACACAAATAAATAGACACAAATAACAGGATTCCCCATATTTCCCGCATTTTCTGGGTGTTTGTCTCCCCCCCACTTCCCATATTCTCCCATATTTTCTGGGGAATCGACGATTAAGTGTGTCCGCGTGTTTTGTTCCCTCCCGAGAGCCGTGGGGACAGGAGCCCGCCCGTGGACGAGCAGCCGTCCCTGGGACTGACGGGCTCGCTGAAGCAGAGCCTCTCCGAGGTGTCCACGGCGCTGCCCAGGCACCTGACCGGCGGCATGGGCTGGCTGACAGATCATGTGACTGCACAGAGCCCATGATAGGGAAACGAGCTCTATACACCGACGCTTTTTCCGACCCTGCGCTGAAACTCGCACAGGAACGCGGATCCTGGTGTCTACGGGATCCTGGTTCACATCCAGTTTCCGACATGAGGGGCAGGGCTGATCATCTCAATGTACTTCCGACCCACCCCTCACGCCTCCCCTTCCTCCTCCTCCGCCTCATCCGCGTCCTTCTGTACGGGACGTGTGTCCCCAGGAGGCTGCGACCTTGCTTGCATCCTGTCCGCCACCGCTGGCGAGGTGGCCTTGGCCCTCGCGACCCGCCGAAGGCGCCGCGGGCACACGGCAATTTCAAGTTGAACCTGGCCACGCGCCCCCACCCCAAACAGAAATCCTCAACGGAATCGTTCCGTTTACATCCCCAAAAGCTGCCCAATTCGTTTCTGGAGCTCTGCACGGCTGGCGGCACGAGTGTGGGTGTGCAGCCAGTGGCAGATGCCAAGCCTGACAGCGCGATGGTGACGGCTGATCGGGTTGACGGAATGCCAATGACTGCGACGTGGGTGCATGGAATGAGGCGCGCACTAACATGTGCTCGTTTTGATCGGCCAGGTGGAGAGCACAGGCGGCACCGCAGAACGCAGGCCTCGGCTGTTTTGGGACATAGCATACGCCGGGCAAATAAAAGCAGTCCTCTTTTCGCCCGCCGCACGGTCAGGGTGTTACAGCACGGGTGCGTCGGGAAGGGACGGCCTCGCCACCCGGCGGGCACGAGGCCGCAAGGGCTTCGACCAACGCACTTCTGAGAACCCCGCAACTCTTCAGCAGCGTTTCTTTGCAGGGCTGTGGCTCTGCAAAGAAGGGACGCCGGTGGGCAACACTCGCTTCTTAAAGATTGGCACGAGTGTGCCTCGGATGATAGGCCCACCAAAATACTGCAGCGCGATCTAAGATCCGCAAGTGCACAATAAGGCTATTCAGTGTCACGACTTCGGCACCCAAGAATTATCGGAAAGACTGCTCCGTGTCTCTTGCCTGTCCAGTCCTGCCTCCTTCCTAACGTATACTAATTTACTTGGGGGCCCGCACCGATGTTTTAAAACTAGGGGATTCGATAGCATGCTCAACTTCCTGGCCGCGGGGCTCCGACGACTCAAGAGGCTTGGATGACGGCCCCAGCAGTCTCCGAAGAGGGCCTCAAGAACCCGAGACGGCGAATTATGACCCCCTGATGCCTCTAAACGTTCCCCGGGAGGGGCCCAGATCGCCCCCGAGAGGGTAAAACACATTGGTACAACAAATGCGTTCCATGTGACGTGCATGTCAGACTTTCTGTCCCCAGGCTACGCGACGCTACTCCCGATCCGCCCGAAGGCCGTGCCAATCTACCAATCGGGAAGGGTCTTGGCCCATGCCTCCAATACCCGGGCATTTGTGCGATCGTCTTACATGGGTTGCTGCTCGGACAGGCAGGAGCGGGAGCGGGAGCGAATGCGGAGGAGGGGGGAAGGGAAAGGAACTGTCCGATCTCGTTCATGGGGACCCCCACGAGGAAAGCTTCGTAAACAAGCGCTGGTTCAGCCATTCCACCTCTGAAACGGTCGCCCGCGGTGGCGCCCATAGCGTGGTCGCCAATCGTACGAGAAAGAACGCAATTACGAGTCGGATCCGTATTCGAACTGTTGGAATAACGAACATGATCGCCCATTGCGCCTGATGCTCCAATCTGCGATGGGATGTTGCGCCGATGCCGTTCCCGGCCGGCGCTTCATGCGATTGCCAGCATGGTGCAATGCTCCGTTCGCATGCCGAACCCATCCCATCCAACAATACGCCTCAACAGCTTCCTCTGCAAAGCGTCCAGCCCCTCAAAGTCTTTCTGGGTGAGAAGTGTTGTGGCCAGACCTACCCAAACGGATGCAGCCGTAATTTGATCAGAATGCTGCAGCTCTAAAGCGTCAACGTAAATCTCTTGCATTTCAGCCAAGAAAATTCCATCCGATGTTCCAGGCTGCACGTACCTGACATCCGCAGGTCGCCACTCAATAACCGACAAATGTATTTGTGCGCGCTCGCATGCTTGACGAACTCGACCACGCCACCACCAACATCCAGAAAAAAAGAGCCCGTGTGCTGCAAAAATGGCATATGTTGTCAAAACCTTCGTCTTCTGCGCACTGCCAGACAAACCGGCTCCGCTCAACTCTTCCACGGGGGGCAATAAACAATGAACAGTGCATCCTCGGGAAACCGAGCACAAAGAAGCACGTCGTCTGAATGCCCAATGCTGACCAAACGCACGCTCCCCAGGCTGAGCAGGAAACCGAAATTGCAACACCGTCCCTTCAACCGACGCAATACCAGCTCCAGCGCAGCGTTAAGGAGCATCGGACTGACCACGCCCCCCTGTGTGACCCCAAATTATATGTCGAACTCACATCCATCCACAACACCGCGTTGGGCCCCGCACAAACATCGCAGCAGCGTGCGGTGTTCAAAGGGGACGCCTTGTTGCGTCATGGCAACGAACAGAACAGGGCGCTCGACTCGATCGAAGGTTTGGTCAAGTCGATGTTCACGATCCAGGCCGGCGAATCATATTTAATTGGTTTCTGCAAACGTTCCGGAGTATTGAAAGCGCGCTATTGAAAGCGCGCGCTATGTCAGAGTGGCGGACCGAAACCCGAGCAGATGTGGCGGCTGGCAGAGCTCCAGGATGGCCCCGAGGTGGTCGTGCCAGATTATGGCCATGATATTGTACACAGCATCCAGGATAGCAGTTGACCTCAAGTTGTTGGGATCCAGAACATTACCCGCTTTGGGATTCACGGCATACACAAAGTCACTCCAGTCGCTGGGAAAACACACGTGTGCTCGACCTCACTCACGCATGCAACAAGGATTCATTGGGCTTGCGGACCAGCATAGCATTATATTTCCAGCATAACAACACGCTTATCAACACATCGTTTGCTGGCCATTGGTCTGCGAGCTTCCTACAACTCTCTGAACGTTATGTTCAGTTTCCGCTTCAGCTGCGACCTGTCTTAGGGAAACCATCACGTCGGCCTCCAAAGAGTAGCCCTCCTTCAACATGGTCGCGAAAGCATGCGGGTCAGGTCGCAGTGGAGTTTTGACATTCACTGGTTCCATCGAGAATGCTGGAATCTTCTTCAGATCTGAAAAGCATTCAAACTGTACACGGAGTTTCTCCGTCCGCCACTCCCGAAGGGCTTTCCTCGTGCCGCCCGCAATTACCTTGGACACCCAGCATCTCTCGGCAACGTCCATGCATTGTCGGCGTTGACGCCACAGTTCTTGAAGGTCGTCGTTTTGCCACAGCCTTCTGCATCTCCAGGGGGTTCCAACGCCTTAGACACACATGCCACTTCAACAACCACGTGTTGCTCCCAGGATGTCCCAATATCGCTTCAATATGGCCCCAAACAGACCCCCGAGATTGCCTCAGACGGCCACAACGTGGCCCAAAACGGCCTCATGTGACGCCGATGCCGCCAAGGATATCCCGATCTCTCAGCGAGGCCCCATGATGGCCCCATGGTGCTCTCAAGGTAGGCCCCAGAGGCTTCAAGATACAGTCCCAAGATTGCCCGAGATGGCCCGAAGATCGCCCGAAGATGGCCTTAGCTCGGGCCTGTCCTCCTACAGGGGGATTTTGGATACAAAAAAAAAAACCTGGCGAAGGGCCCCACCATACGCAATTCCGAATGCCGCCGTTGTAAGTATCGTCGTTGGTGGAACACCCGATGGGGCCACGAAGCGTGTGAGAGGTGCGCCAAATGGAGGTGGAACTGCATGCGGACCCTGCCACTGGGGCCTTCGGTGGAGCACCCTGTGGGGCCGCGAAACGTGTGAGGGGTGCGCCGAAATGGAGGTGGAACTGCATGCGGACCCTGCCATTGGCGCCCTCGGTGGAGCTCCCTATGGGGCCGCGAAACGTGTGAGGGGTGCGCCGAAATGGAGGTGGAACTGCATGCGGACCCTGCCACTTGGGCCTTAGGCGGAGCTCTCTATGGGGCCACGAAACGTGTGAGGGGTGTGCCGAAATGGAGGTGGAACTGCATGCGGACCGTGCCACTTGGGCCTTAGGCGGGGCTCCCTATGACGCCACGAAACGTGTGAGGGGTGCGCCGAAATGGAAGTGGAACTGCATGCGGACCCTGCCACTTAGGCCTTAGGCGGAGCTCCCTATGGGGCCACGAAACGTGTGAGGGGTGCGCCGAAATGGAGGTGGAACTGCATGCGGACCCTGCCACTGGGGCCTTCGGTGGAGCTCCCTATGGGGCCACGAAACGTGTGAGGGGTGCGCCGAAATGGAGGTGGAACCGCATGCGGACCCTGACACTTGGGCCTTCGGTGGAGCTCCCTATGGGGCCACGAAACGTGTGAGGGGTGCGCCGAAATGGAGGTGGAACCGCATGCGGACCCTGACACTTGGGCCTTCGGTGGAGCTCCCTATGGGGCCACGAAACGTGTGAGGGGTGCGCCGAAATGGAGGTGGAACCGCATGCGGACCCTGACACTGGGCCTTCGGTGGAGCTCCCTATGGGGCCACGAAACGTGTGAGGGGTAAATGGAGGTGGAACCGCATGCGGACCCTGACACTGGGGCCTTCGGTGGAGCTCCCTATGGGGCCACGAAACGTGTGAGGGGTGCCGCATGCGGAAGGAGGTGGAACCGCATGCGGACCCTGACACTTGGGCCTTCGGTGGAGCTCCCTATGGGGCCACGAAACGTGTGAGGGGTGCGCCGAAATGGAGGTGGAACCGCATGCGGACCCTGACACTTGGGCCTTCGGTGGAGCTCCCTATGGGGCCACGAAACGTGTGAGGGGTGCGCCGAAATGGAGGTGGAACCGCATGCGGACCCTGACACTTGGGCCTTCGGTGGAGCTCCCTATGGGGCCACGGAACGTGTGAGGGGTGCGCCGAAATGGAGGTGGAACCGCATGCGGACCTTGCCACTGGGGCCTTCGGTGGAGCTCACTATGGGTCCACGAAACGTGTGGCCATGATGGAGACGGCGATGATGATGACGACGATGGTGATAAGAACGATGATGATGATGCTGATGATGACGGTGACGATGACGATGATGATGATGCTGATGATGAGAGGAGGAGGAGGAGGAGGAGGAGGAGGAGGAGGAGGAGGAGGAGGAGGAGGAGGAGGAGGAGGAGGAGGAGGGGAGGAGGGGGGAGGAGAGGAGGAGAGACGCGGGGCACCGTCTCTTCAAAACGAGGACCCAACACCACAGGATGGTTGGGAAAAAGCATACTCCCAAAGTGCTCAAAAATCAAAAATTCCCAACCATCCTGTGGTGTTGGGTCCTCGTTTTGAAGAGACGGTGCCCCGCGTCTCTCCTCCTCTCCTCCTCCTCCTCCTCCTCCTCCTCCTCCTCCTCCTCCTCTCATCATCAGCATCATCATCATCGTCATCGTCACCGTCATCATCAGCATCATCATCATCGTTCTTATCACCATCGTCGTCATCATCATCGCCGTCTCCATCATGGCCACACGTTTCGTGGACCCATAGTGAGCTCCACCGAAGGCCCCAGTGGCAAGGTCCGCATGCGGTTCCACCTCCATTTCGGCGCACCCCTCACACGTTCCGTGGCCCCATAGGGAGCTCCACCGAAGGCCCAAGTGTCAGGGTCCGCATGCGGTTCCACCTCCATTTCGGCGCACCCCTCACACGTTTCGTGGCCCCATAGGGAGCTCCACCGAAGGCCCAAGTGTCAGGGTCCGCATGCGGTTCCACCTCCATTTCGTCGCACCCCTCACACGTTTCGTGGCCCCATAGGGAGCTCCACCGAAGGCCCAAGTGTCAGGGTCCGCATGCGGTTCCACCTCCATTTCGGCGCACCCCTCACACGTTTCGTGGCCCCATAGGGAGCTCCACCGAAGGCCCAAGTGTCAGGGTCCGCATGCGGTTCCACCTCCATTTCGGCGCACCCCTCACACGTTTCGTGGCCCCATAGGGAGCTCCACCGAAGGCCCCAGTGTCAGGGTCCGCATGCGGTTCCACCTCCATTTCGGCGCACCCCTCACACGTTTCGTGGCCCCATAGGGAGCTCCACCGCTCAGGGTCCGCATGCAGTTCCACCTCCATTTCGACCCCTCACACGTTTCGTGGCCCATAGGGAGCTCCATGTCAGGGTCCGCATGCGGTTCCACCCCATTTCGGCGCACCCCGCACACGTTTCGTGGCCCCATAGGGAGCTCCACCGAAGGCCCAAGTGTCAGGGTCAGCATGCGGTTCCACCTCCATTTCGGCGCACCCCTCACACGCTTCGTGGCCCCATAGGGAGCTCCACCTGAGGCCCCAGTGGCAGGGTCCGCATGCAGTTCCACCTCCATTTCGGCGCACCCCTCACACGTTTCGTGGCCCCATAGGGAGCTCCGCCTAAGGCCTAAGTGGCAGGGTCCGCATGCAGTTCCACTTCCATTTCGGCGCACCCCTCACACGTTTCGTGGCGTCATAGGGCGCCCCGCCTAAGGCCCAAGTGGCACGGTCCGCATGCAGTTCCACCTCCATTTCGGCGCACCCCTCACACGTTTCGTGGCCCCATAGGGAGCTCCACCGAAGGCCCCAGTGTCAGGGTCCGCATGCGGTTCCACCTCCATTTCGGCGCACCCCTCACACGTTTCGTGGCCCCATAGGGAGCTCCACCGAGGGCGCCAATAGCAGGGTCCGCATGCAGTTCCACCTCCATTTCGGCGCACCCCTCACACGTTTCGCGGCCCCACAGGGTGCTCCACCGATGGAAGGCCCCAGTGGCAGGGTCCGCATGCAGTTCCTCCTCCATTTGGCGCACCTCTCACACGCTTCGTGGCCCCATCGGGTGTTCCACCAACGACGATACTTACAACGGCGGCATTCGGAATTGCGTATGGTTGGGCCCTTCGCCAGGATAATCAAAAAATACTCCCAAAGTGCTACTTTTGAATATTCCCCCCTGTCGAGGAACAGGCCCGACTGAAAGATGGCCCCAGAGGTGGGCTCCGAGATACCCCCGAGGAGGCCCCAGGTCGGCCCCGGAGCAGGCCCCGAGTGTGGCCACAGGAAGGCTCAGCCTTGGGGGGGCGCCCGCGGCAGACGGTGCGGCCCTCCTCACTGGGCGCTGGCGCTCGCTGCCGCCGGCGTCCCACGACCCTGTCATGGGGTCGGCACGGTGGGCGCATTGGGTAAGGAAGCATTGGATAAGGAATCCAGGGTCTCGAAGCCAGTGGAACTCCACTCGCGGATTGGCAGTGGATCGTGCCGCCGCCCTCATGACGGAAGGAACCCTCCAGGGTCTGAAGCCTCCCGTGCACATTGCTTGACCAACACCCCCACCGTAACGCAGCGCACTGCTGCCTGGGCGAATCGTACGCACCGCCCTGTAGCTTCGACAATGTGTTGAGCAGGTACCGACCGTCCTGGCATCTCTATAGGCCTACCACGAAATGTTCTTAGAACCCAGAATTTGTCTAAGAAGAGAAACAATGTTCTTAGAGCATAAGCCCGATGCGATAAAACAAGACAGACCCAGCCAGAAGTTGTCCAAAAACATGTCGTGCAAACCACAAAAGGTTCTTAGAACATTGTTTGGTAGGCCTATAGGCGAGCCAAGACGCTTCGCCACTGCTTGAGTGCGAGGCAAGCCTTGGAGCGAGGGGGTATCTGAGCCGCGCAGCGGCAGACTGGAGGCTCACTCGAACCGCTGGAGCAGGAATGATCGGGCGGGGGGAAAATAGGAGGACACCGTAGCCCCACAGAAGCTGGACACGATCGCCGCGTAATGCATGGAGCGCGCCGAACTTCACCGGCTCGCACAGTGGCGTTCAAAATCGACTGACTCACACTGGCGCGCATGCTCAAACAAAAGCCAGATACACAGGTCGAGGTGGCACCCCCAAGACCGTCGCTTGCAAGGAGCCCTGTGCCATTCCACTCACGTTCTATCGAAAAGGGTGGGATGTGGCGGGTGCTCTCCAGGCGCCTGCAGGACATCCTTCATATTTGGCGTCGACATCAGCTCCCATCGGGCGGGATTGAAGCAGTTGAGCTAAAGAATGTGACAAAGGGTCACATGGTTTCGAAAGTTGCCACCGACATCCTGGCTACAACTCGTGAAATTGTCACAAGGTTTAGGTGCGCCGAGGCTTTGTCACGACTGCTATCGGTTCGGCCGCAGATACTGTCCAACGCAGGTTCACATATCTCTTCAAAGACCAGTATGGGCGATTTACACTTCGGGCGCGTCAACGACGCCCAGGAGATGAAGCGATCTCGGAAGGGCCAGGTCTCTCCTCACTGGCGAGCTTCGGCCAGTGCGGTCTGAAGATCTCCTTGTCCAAGAAGCGCCAGACGATGATTGGCCAGGGCTCCTGGCCTGCTCCACTCAAGGCTCGACCCTGACACAACAGATCGGGAAGCGTGCAGCCTGGGCTGGATTTCGGCAGGGAGAAAGAATAATTGAAAATTGGACAGCTGTGGGAGGCATCCATAACGCCGAACTTTGCCGTGCGAAGCGGCATGCCAGAGCAATGAGCATACGCCCAAGAGGTTCGCTGACTCTCGACTCGATGACCCGATAACTTAGTTTCCGTGGGTCCCGCGAACGTCTGCAACCGTCCGCATTTCCTTTACCGACTCTAAGCTCTCTGGGACAGCTTTGCTCAGATGCTGGGCATGCAAAAGCCCGGCTACGGAGCCCATGCTGGGGGACGGCGTGGTGTGCCTCGCCTCCCTCGTGGTCTGCTGGGCCGCCAGGAGTTGGCTGGGCAGGCCTTCCAAAACACTGTCCGAACCTCCGTAGCTGCCGCCTGCGTCTGATGTCCGTGGATGGATACCCGCCGTGCTCACAGCCGGAAGGCCCCGTCGTCAGGAGGGCTTCCCCGATTCCCCTTCGTACGTCGAAGACCGCAACCCCACCCACACCTGGCGGATGAGAGCCGACAGGAAGATGCCAGGCATCCCAGTCGGATGTGTTTGCGCTCGTGACCCATCCCCCTCATCATGTCCTCGTCCCCACCTCTTCATCCTTCTCCCCTCCTCCACGTCTCCCTCCCCCACCGTCCTGCTCATTATCCTCGTCGTCCCCTTCCTCGTGCCACTCATCCTCCTCCTCCTCCTCCTGTTCCCCCAGCTTCTCTCTCTGCACCTCCTCCATATTGTCGTCTTCACGTCCTCCTCCACTTCCCCATCTTTCTCAAAATCTCTCACCGGTGTCTCATAGCTATAGCTATCACCATCACTGTCAACATCAACAGCATCTTCGTCTGTGTGGCCACCGATGCAGTCGCCGTCATCACTGTCGCTGTCTACCGCTGCACCATGGCCACCAAAGTGATCCCGCCGGCCGCCGACAGGGGAGCGCGAGTCGCAAGAGAGGCCAGGTGGCAGTCTGACAGTCTGGCCTGGAGGGCGGGGACGCACTGGGGGAGGACGCCAGCTTTGCACTCATCCTGGGTCTGGGCTTAGCTTGGCAGGGCCTGGCATCGGTGCATCGCTGGCGTTCCCCAGATCAGAGCAGGGGAGCAATCGGCAACTCCGGATCCGAGAGGAGGACGACGAGGAGGGCCGGGGTAGGGGGCCCCCCCTCCCCAGAGGGTGGGGGGCCAGGTGGGGGCGGGGTACACGTGCTCGACCCTGGTTGCGAGACATCCCCACAATCGGGAGCCGAAGCTCTCTGGCTCAGCCCCAGGAAGGGGAGGGGGACCAGGTGAGGAGGGAGGTGCGCCCTCTTTCCCCGAGAGGGAGTTGGGGGACCCGTGCTGCGCCAGTGGGCGCCTCTGGCCCCGTGCAGATCCCGTGGACGGGAGACGGCGACGAGAACCCGTGGGCGGGGGATCCCGGCTTCGCCAAAGGGCACCTCTTGCCCCGCGCTGACGCGCCCCTCGAGGAGCCAGCTCTGGCCGACCAGACCGCGCCTGGGGCATCAGCGCCGATGAGCGAGCGGCTCGAAGCATACCCCAAGCCTTCGCCTATACTGGGGTCGGGCATGGCCTCCTACAGGCGGAATTTGAAGAAAAACACAATCCAAAAAAACAAAATGCTCGAAAGTATGCGAGGATATCTCACCCATACTATGTTTTGAATATTTTTGAATATCCCTCCTGTAGAGGGACATGCCCGATTTAAGCCTATCCTGAGAGGAGCGACAGACAAGGGGGGAGGCGGCTGACACGAGGAAACACCGACGTGGAATCGGCGAGGGCGCGCCGCTGGATGCCCCAAAAAGGGGGGGTCGGAACCTGCCGCCCCCCCCTCTTTTCCCCGACCCGTCGTCGTGAAACCCCCCCGCCCCTGTCCCAGTCCGTCGTCGGGGACCCCTCCTCCTTTACCAGTCCATCATCGACGACCCCCCCTTAGAAGAAGGGGGGGACGTTTCCGGACCCCCCCCCTTCTTCTTTAGGACTCAAAACTTGCCTCCATCCCGCCATGTCGCCACGCTGCACCAAAATTCGACCCCTACACACCCGAAGAACCCTAGTCCTTGAGCCCTACACGCACCCCCTACCTCAAATCCTAACCCGGTCACTACACACTATTCACTACCCATCACCCACTACTCATTAGTCACTACTCACGCCTCAATACACACTGCGCACTAGTCACTACTCAGCACACACAACTCGCTTCTCGCTGCTCACTAAAACTACCAACTACTCACTACTCACTACGCACTACTCTCTGATCACTACTCACTCATCACTACCTACTAGTCACTACCCACTACTCACTACTCAATACTGCCTACTCACTACCCACTACCCACTGCCTAGTACCCACTATTCACTACTCACGAATCACTACACACGACACATTACGAACTACTCATTACCCACTACTCAATAGTCCCAATTACATACTCGCTACCCACAGTTCACTACTCACTTTTCACTACACACAGCACACTAATCGCAAACTACGGATCACTATTCGCTACTCCCGCATCACCCTCACTACTCACTACTCACTACTCACTATTAATCACTCACTACTCACTATTCTCGACTCAAGATGCAATACTCAGAGCGCAATCATCACTACTCGATACTCACTACGAACTACTCGCTACTCACTACGAACTGCCAACTACTCACTGATCACTACCAACTACTCACTGCCCAATACTCACTAATCAGTACTCACTTGTCACTACCCACTACTCATTACTCACTATTCACTGCTCACTACGCACTACTCACGACCCAATACCCAGCACGCACTACCACGACTCACTAATCACTACACACTACATTCACTAGTCCCTACGCCCTACTCGCTATTCGCCACTCACTGTTCACTACTCACTACTCACTACTCACTACTCACTACTCACAACTCTCAACTCACGACGCAATACTCGCTACTACCTTCTCACGACTCACTACTCACTACTCACAATTTGCAACTCCCTACTCACTCCTCACCAATCACGACTTACTACTCGCACCAAACTTCTCACAACTCACTCCTCTCGGTACTCACTACACACTACTCTATACACAATATGGACTACCCCCTACTCCCTACTGCTCATTTCTCACGATATACTACCCACTTCTCACTACTCACTACTCGCTATTCTGCTCTGAACTCAATATTCACTACTTATTACTCACTATTCACTACTCCCTACCCAGTACTCAATACCCACTACTTACTAATTGCCCCACACTGCTCACTACTCAATACTCATTATTCACCATACACTACTACCCACTACCCACGACTCACTTCTCACTGTTCGCGCCCTACTCACTACTCACGATCATGCTCACTAGTCACTACTCGGTATTGCCTACTCAATACTCAATACTCACTATTCACTACGAATTACTCACTCCACCCTAGTACTCACCACTCACAACTCACGACTCCCAATGTACTACTCACTACGCAATACACACTGCTCACTACTGGCTACTCACTACCCGCTATTCACGACTCACGATTCCCTACTCCCTACTCCCTACTCGTTACTCACTACTCACGACCCACTGCGCACTACTCCCGGCTTCCTACTCCCTACTCCATACTCACTACTTTTTTTGCATTATTCACTACTCACCGCTCACTACTCACTAGTCACTATTCACACCTCCCTACTCCCTACGCACGATTCACTGCCCACTACTCAATCCTCACTGCGCACTACTCAGTACGCACTACTCATTACCCACTTCGAACTACTCCCTACTCATTACAAACTACCCACTACTTACTACTCACTACTCACTACCCACTACTCACTACTCACTGCTCACTACCAACTACTCACTACGCACTACTCTCTACTCACTACCTACTACCCACTACGCAGTACCCACTACTCACTACTCATTACCCACTACTCATTAGTCGCTATCCACTTCTCACTACCAACTACTGACCACTCACTACTCCCTACTCCCTACTCCTTACTCACAACTCACTATTCACTACTCTCGACTCACTCCTCACAACTCGCTACTCCCTACTCCCGAGTTCCTACTCCCTACTCCCTGCCCCGAGTCTGGCCGGCGCAAAAGGGGAAGAGGGGGGTCTGAAATCTTCCCCCCTTCGAGCGCAAAGGACGGGGGGTCCGAAACACCCCACCTCCTTTCAAAGGGGTGTGGGGGGGGGGATCCGAACCCCAACCCCCTGATGGGGAGGGCGGGAGGGGGGGTCCGATAATCTCACCCCCCCTTTGAGGGGGGGGAGGGGGGGTCCGCGAGCACACACACCCTTTTCAACTACGGGGGCACCCAGTGGCGCGCTTTCGGAATCGGCGACACGTCACCGACAGACGGGCGACAGGCGCCCGACTGCAAAACCGCACGGTCCTGCTCGGGGTGCGGCATCGGGCCCCTCTGGATCCATGGGCGAGCGGGGGCCAATAAATACATCCCCCTCTGAGCCCGTGCCCCCCGCTGAAGACGCATTCCGTTTTCTCACCCACTCGGCCATCCTTCTGCACGGTCCCTGGACACACTGGCCAAGCATGTACGCCACGGGAGGACATGGGTCCAGGTCCTGTGCCGAGAGAGCGCATATCGGGGGGCGCGGTCGAGCAGACTCCTCCCTATGCGGGCCCTCCCACGTGTGCTGTTGTCGGCGCCTGCCGCTGCTGCCGGCGCAGGGGGCGTGGGGGGATGCTTCTGGCCGCCAGGATGAGGCTGCCGTGCTCCCCCCGCGCGCTGAGCTGCATGCCCTCCCACGCGTTCGCGCGGGGCTTCTCCACGTGCCTCTTGCTCTTGCTCCCCCAGAGCTTGTGGGGCTGCTCCTCCTCTCCCAGGGAGCACCCGCCGCCGGAGATGATGGGGCTGGGAAGCTCTGCATCGCGAAGGGCTTCTCCCAACCCTTCTGCTCCTCTTCACCCCGCTTCCTCCTCTTCCTCATCTTCCTCCTCCTCCTCCTCCTCCTCCTCTTCCTCCTCCTCTTCCTCATCCTCCTCCTCCTCCTCTTCCTCCTCCTCCTCCTCCTCCTCCGCGAGGGTACCCAGAGCGGCACCGAAGAGGGGGGGATAGCTTCTGGGGGGGGGGGGGGGGGCAACGGTGTACCACAACCGAGAGCACCCGGCCCTCTCCAAGGGTGCGCTCTGACTAGAATCCCACCAACCCTCTGGGCGTAGGTGGTCTAGAGAGCTTTCTCTTCCAACCCGCTTCGTCCCCTTCGGGGAGGGGTTTACCCCTTCCCGTACACCCTCCTCTGGACCTGGAGGGGGGGGCGCGAGGCGTTGGAGCGTCCAAGATGGCCCAAGATGGCCCGAAGAGGGCCTCAGAGAGCCCAAGATGACCTCCAAGATTGCTCAAGATAGCCTACGATGGTTCCAGATGGCCCCCAAGATGTTCCAAGAGGCACCAAGACGGCTCCAAGATGCCTCCGAGACTTTCCAGGAGGCCGCCGAGAGGCCAAAATCCTTCAAAACCCAGGGAAACTCAATGATTTGTGCCTTCTCGCCTTTTCGCTTCCGATGGCCTTCCAAGGCCTCAAGACAGCTCCAAGAGGGCCCATGAGGGCCCCAAGAGAGGCCCAAGAGAGCCCCAAGTTGGCCCCAAGAGCGCCCAAGAGCGCTCCAAGAGCGCCTCAACTTGGGCCCAAGAAGCGATAGCTGGGGCTCACGAAGGGGAAACGTAATTAAAGCTTTCATCTTTTTTGACCGATCACCTCCAAGATGGCCCCAAGAGCGCTCCCAAAGCTCCGAAAAGCGCCTCAAGAGGGCCCCAAGAGGCGCACAGGAGGCCCCAAGAGGCGCCCAACAGGCCTCCAAGAGGCTCCCAAGAGACCCCCAAGAGGCCAAGAGCGCCCCAAGAGGGAGGGGCCCTTCCTCTGTGTGCTGCCCACTTTCCTGATCGAGGCAACCCCTCTGGGCATCGTCTCTGGATGGGCTGCTGGGGTGACGCGAAGCGTCAAGAAGTCCGAGGCGAATCCAGCCGTCGTGACGTGAAGAGGGCAGCGAAACCGGTACAGCTCCCCCGTCTGAGCTTCACCACGCAGACCCACCGGCCCCAGACGATGCGCCTCCCTATCCCCGTGCCGGTGTGCAGGAAGTCCGTGCTGACGCCAGCCTCGGGCGGGTGGCAGTGGCGGGTGACCTACACGGGGGGTGAAGAAGAAGAAGAGGACCCTGTTGGGCCCCTTTGGGGCCCCTGCTGGCTCCCAGAGGCGCCCTCAAGGGACCCTTGAGGGCCCTGATCTGTGTGGATGCCCCGACAATGGACACCCTAACAGTCCTATCCTTGAATTGGAGATGCGTTTAAAATGTCGAAAAAAAC